ATAATTACCGAATTTTGTGTATCTTGTCACTTACAGTTATCGCTGCCTGGAGATTTTCCACTGGGTCACCAATCAAATAATTTTACTTTAAATTAGCCAATCGGCAATGTGGGCAAATCGAGCGCCACCTTTCATTCTCATCTTTTCTACATTGGATCCTCTATGAAGTATCGCATATTTAGTCTATTTATTATGTCAATGACAAAAACTTGCGACAGGTTATATTCAGTCTTCTTGAATAGGTTTGACTATTTGGGATAGTTTTAGTGATAATTATAAGTTAATAACTTGGTTGATGGTCAATAAACATATAAAAATAAAATCTTTTTTTAGATTTTTTATAGGATTTAATATATCAATACTATATATATCAATACTATATATGATTATACATTTGTAATATTTACAGCAATAAAAAATGTTTTCTCCCATCAGTAAGTTTATTCTTATTTCCATTATAAACTTAGAAATATAAAACAGAATTATAAGTTGTCTGTAGACATGAAAACAATTTCTTATTATATTTTTTTAATAAATATAAAAATTTACAAATATTAAATCCTAACAATATTATTTGTCAGACTTTTTGTCAATATATAGCAGATCTATATGATGCATAATACAAAAATAATTTTATTATAGATTTATCTTCACCTAAATCATTTCAAGGAAGAAATTTGACAGGCACTGCACGCGTTATACATGATTTAGTTGCAGACATTCATGCAAATATACAACAATGGAATAATTTTCATATTCAAGGAGTTACCTACTTAAAAGATATAACACAACATAAATATAATAAAAATTATTCTGAAATTTTACAAAATTTATGTGATAAGTTAGAAAATATTTGTGATAATCTGGTAAGTGTTTCTCTTAACTTACTTATAATGTTATATATGTATCTGTGTACATATGTGTGTATATACTATACATATGTGTGTATGTGTGTGCGCGCGCGCGCGCACATGTGTGTGTGTGTGTGTGTGTGTGTGTGTATATATAATTTTATAGCTATTAATAAAAACTAACAATGTTTAAGTTATTTTAATTATATCTTAGAATTATATATCAATCATTTACTAATATAGATAAATCATAATAATTTATTTTAGGATAACATAGTAAAAAACTTAGAACAAATTAAATATAAATTAATAAACATATCAGCTTTGCAAAAAACTGATGATAAATTGTTTATATCATGGCCAACAATCAAGTTTGGTAAGAAACAATTTAGATAACTAAATCAGTTAAGAATAAATTTTATAATATATCTAATTATAAATTATAAATTTTTATTATTATTAAATTTTATTATAAATTATTTAATAAAATTTTCTAAATATTTTCTAAATATTACTATATGTTTTAATCATGTTAGGTGAGGCAGCCGAAACTATACATAAAGCATATGAAATGGAAGCTAAATTGAAACGCAATTTACTTGAAAATGTAGCCCATAATTATACAGAATCTTGGAAAATGCTTCATCTTGCGACATGGGTATATGAACCTTTTATAACTGAAAATTTAACGATTTTATTAAATTCATTGTTTATTGAAACTGGTCATAAGTAAAAGTTCAATGCAATTTAAGCAATGCTTTTTGAGTTCTTTTCATTTTAATACAATCAAATAAAAAGTAAGGCGAGGTAATTAGGCTTTTGATGAAGAAAGGTTAATCATATCTTGTTTAGTGCTATTAGTACTTCCAGCATCCAAAAATAGATTAAAATGAATTGAAAATTTCTAATTCATTTTAATTTATTTTAATATATTTTGAATTGAAAGAATAGGAAACATCTCGTTTCAATTCTATTTCATGTATTAAAATGATTTTGATGTGGCCTGCAAATTTTTTTTGAATTGGTAACATAGGAATCTCGTAATTTTGATCTCACTTCATAGATTAAAATAGATTAAAAGAATTCTTAAACTTTAATTGAATTGAATTGAAATGCATTCAAAAAAATTAAAAATTTGAATTCGGCAATTTATTACTACGCGAATCCATTTCTATTTTAATCAATTTTCGTTCTGGGCAGTTACTCATTAATGATTAATTGAATTATTTATCAACTTTTCTGATAATACAGACTTTTTTAAATAAAATGAGAAATGATATATTTCGTAATTTATTATTCTTTAAACAATATTGATTTATTATAATAGTGATAACACATATTTATATCCATTTTTTGCAATTTTTAATAAAAAACATTTTAACATGTCTTTTTTTTCTTTTATTTATTGTAACAAAATTGTTTAGCATAAAGTATATATATATATATAATTCTTTTTTGGATTGTAAGAATAACAATTATGTCATTTCAATCCTGTATCATGGATTAAAATAGATTGATAATCCGTGAAACTTCTGTTGGATTAACGACAAACACGATTGGTCAATTCCAATAACTGATCCATTAATTTAATCGGAGATTGGTGAAAGTCATCCTTAATGTGCGCTGATCCAATGACTGCGTTCAGCAGAGAGAGAGCTTTGCCATGTGTAAAAATCTTTGATATGATTGGTTTTTGTCCCTAGTTTATCTAAATGTATAAACCAATCATATTGAAGGACTTACACAATTGCTTATACAGTTGCTTTTCTGAACGCAGCCAATATAATGTAGATGAACTCGCTATAACAGGTTTGCTCTGTTCAACTGAACTTTTTGCACAATTCTTTCTTTTCTTTCCATGTTAGTGTCGGTCCACAATAAAGCCAGCGGCAAATTGCTGATTTGTTAGCTGGATTGCGTGCTCGTTGAGCTCTTGTCTCTGATTGGTATATTCTTTTGGATCTAAAAAAATATACCAATCGAAGACAAGAGTTCAACAAGCACGCGAATCCGGCTAGCAAACTAGCAAGAAAAAAAAGCATCGTGTGCCGCTGGCTTAGTATTTAATCTTTAAACCGTAAGAAATTGACCAATCATAGTCGATTATTCTTTTCATGTTTGATTATAATTGGTCAATTTCTACTTCTTAAAGCTTAAATCACCTATTGCGGACCGACACTTAGAGAGAAAAAGAGAAAAGAATGATGAACTTACTGAACAAGTTTAAAAGAAAGAACAGACTTAATATTTTACTGATCAATTAGCACTATAGATAATCAAGTGTTGTTCTGTATAAATCGTTATTGCGAAAAATAATATCATATATTACTTGAAAGACTCTAGAAAGTAACATTCAAAGGGAAAAATATTTCCTTTTTATTTTTGCTGATTCGTTCACCTCCTTTGCCGTTTATCTGTCGTCGCAGACAGGCAATCGCGAGCTAACACGAAGCGCAGTTGTCAATAATATACATTTGACACATATGACCGTCTACGCGGCAATCAAAACATGATAGAATAGCCGAGAAAAATGTTGGAAAACTCTTGGGGTATCTACAATGTGCTTTGTGTGTTGATTTCCTTCGTTTACGGACATGATTTTCGGCATTTCGACGACACGGTTTTATTTAAAATAAACTGGCCCGGGAAAAGCGATACGGAATTATTGGTAATTACACTACTTGGCATGATCACATCTAATCGACGTGGCCTCGTGAATGATTATCTTGTTTTTGCTCGATAATTGCTTTCTTATCTCTTTCTCTTTTAGGAGCCTCACTCAAATGTGGAACCATATTTTATAACTACGGCAAACAACGAGCGGTACAAATGTGTAATTCCAGATGCAACTGAGCAGGAACATGAATACAGCGAAACGTACGATGGACCGAACCCGATACAGCTTCTGCAACCAATATTTGCTCAAAACAGTTGCTCCTATAGAGTACGCGCTACATAAATGTTTTTATATCTATATTTTATATCTCGTATATTCTCATTAATCATGTATTATTGATGAATATGTCATTGCCGTCAGTATTACTGTTTCTTACTTCAGTTTAATTTTTGACACGTAGCTAGAGTCATACTGGACTTACGAATTGTGCCATGGTAGATATGTACGGCAATATCATGAAGACAGAGAGGGAAAGAAAATCAAGATGCAAGAATATTATCTTGGAACATTGGACAAGGCACAAAAGAGTGAAACTCTCGGCCTATTATGATGAGCAGACAAAGAATCCAAACAGGAAATTAAATATACCTATTAAGAAAATTGATGGGATTAATATGCCATATGTCGAAATTGAAATGACCGATGGTACAGTATGTGATTTAAATAACAAGCCGAGAATTATCAAGGTACTATATGTATGTTACAAGCATGGGAAGCACGATGTATATTCATTAAAGGAGACCATGTCTTGCGAATATGAGGCAATTGTACTATCACCAGTATTATGTAATCATCCTGATTACAAACCACAAGACACTGGAGAAAATCAGATTACATGCCAGCCTGTAGATAACGCACCAAAGAAGCCAAAATCACTAATAGCAATGGAACTTGAAAGTTTAAAAATGAGACATCAGCAAGCAAGGGTAAATCTGCAAAGAGTACACTTGGCTTTGTTTTAGCTTTTTCTTTACTTTCTGTCTAGAAAAATTATTTATCACACACACACACACACACACACACACACATATTTTGTCTGCATGATTAGTAGTACTCTTTTATTTTTATTTTATTGAACACAGAATGAAAGAAAAAGAGAATATCCTGCAAAAGTAACAATGTGTATTGACAGATTTGTGTCATATTTTAAAATCTTTTATGTCCTAAAATCCTTCATTTTTACCAAGAAATTAATTTTAATCTGGATTTAATTTATTCTATTTTTTCTAATTTTTTTCTAATTTTTAGATCTGAAAAAGAATAAGTTAAATTGAAATTAAAGTTAATCTACATTGGTGGACATAAATGGACATAAAAATTGACATAAATGATTTTAAATCTGAACATTTTACAAAATGATACAGAAAACATTGCTTCTATTCTCTAAACTAATTAATACATTTAAACTTAATTTAAGCTTTATTATTTTGATAAATAATAAAAGTTCCACATGATAACATTATGTAACTTTTTAGTTTTAGACACTATATATATATATATTTTTTTTTTCTTTCGTTCTAGTTTGTTTACTATTTATTTATTGTCTTAATTATTTGTTGCACAGGATGACAAGCAGCAGAAAGTGTTTGCAATCCTCCATGTAGATAAGGAGGGCCAGGTCAGAATATTTTGTATATATGGGAACGAGATAAACGCTTGTCAATCATAGTATCATTAGCTTGTGCAGATGTTATTTCCATTCTGTCCCTTCTTTATCTACATATATTCCGACATCATTATTACTCCACCAATGTTTAATTCGTTTTCTTTTTGTAAAGTTACATAAGATAGTTTCTTGTTCTTACATCTCGCGCTAGTGTTATATGTATGTTTATCATTGCTACATTATGTAGTAATAACATTGAGAATGTGAGAAATGTAAATAATGATATATAATCATTTCGCGTATGCACTTAAAGTGATCCATCATATCATGCTGCAACTTGCATATTATTAATTGTATATGCACGATAATAAATCCTTTCATCAATTAAGTAAAAGAAATAAAATGCTTTTTATAAATGTCAATTGTATATTTTTACTTCGTAGAGTTTATTATGATATGAATGGATTACAGGATGGTGAACCAAGAGTAAGGGTAGAAATACATCCACTGGATATTCCGGATAAGCATGGCAATATTGATGAATCTATTAGTGCAATGCAGACTGACCAGAATGTTAGTCCTGCTGAAGTTAGTCCTGTACAGAATTTTTTGAGTGGAAAGAACTGCCTGCATGGAGCAAGTATCTGTAATCATTTGTTTTATTTCTATTGAATGTATATTCTTAATAATATTTTTTCTCTTCATTAGGGCAACGGATGGTGGAAGTATGAATTTTGTTATGGGCGTTCTGTTGTTCAATATCATATAGAACGAGATGGAACAAAAACGATTGTTAATCTTGGTAGATTTGATAAGCAAAAGCATTTAGAATGGATTGCCACGAATCCACACAAAAAGCCAAAACCATTAGAATTGAGAAAACATCTTTCGCACTTCTACAGCGACGGCAGTAGTTGCGATAAAACTGGAACTTCCAGACAAACCGAAGTATGTTACTAATAAAGAATATTACTGGTTTGGAAGAAGAGTTTTATTCTCAATTCATAATAATTGTGAGAGAAATGTCTGTTTTTGTCAATTGCAGTTAAGCAAATTAAATAATTACCACGAATATGTCACCTTTCCAAATTGAATTGTTCATTTCTGTCGCAATTTTTAAAATATTTCGTACAAGATTCATGGATTTTGTATTGTAACGATTTTTCTAAATCAAAAGTGTCTCGCAGATATATTAATTTGTCAAATGACTTTCGTGTATTTTGCTCATCGCTATTCTTTGTTTCAGGTAAAACTGAAATGCGTGGAGAATCATACAGCAAGTCCATCTAGTGTGTCATTATTTTTATTGGAACCGAGAACGTGTGAATACGTTCTAGGAGTCGAATCACCGTTAATCTGTGATATTTTAGAATATGCCGATGAAAATGGACTTTTAAGTGACAAGTTTGAAGCAAATTTTGATAAATTAAAGTCTACGGCCTTGCACGCGGAACAGGATTTAGATGAACGAATAGCTAATGGAGATGATTAGGGCAATTGATTGATTTTCTCGATGTTAATTAAAAAAGGCATCATTAAAGGCATTATGTTTTAATATCACAACTATAAAAATGTTTATCATTTATTGAGTGTAAAAGTTGTGTTCTATACAAAACAATAAGAGATTGAAATTAGTTAATTAGTCAATTATATGTTTGGTATTATTGTAAAAAGACTTGCATTCCAAACTATCTAACAATATAAGTATTTAATAGTTTATGCGTATAAATATTTTTTTGTAAAAGTGAATACATATCAAAATCGGGTTCCATTGCGATTAAGTTTATAATACACTCCATTATTCAAGTGAACTTTTGGAAAAGGATCTGATAATTGAATCATGGACATAGATAAAACTTTCTATTTCATCTTAGCCTCTTATCTGAATAATATTGGAATATATGAAAGGAAAACCTCCAAGATACTATGAAGAGGGCAATGTTTCTGAATGTCCAAAATTTACAGTCTACAAATTGTACTGGCCATGCAAGGACATTAGCCGACGTTCAAACCGATGCCGACGCGAAACTGCTGTTTTTTGTGATTTAGGAAGCCGCTTATAATTAACGTGGCCTCGGAAATTGGGTGTAGCCTCTTCTCGAACACGGCGCCCACGCTGGTCTCCGAATTGACGAATCCTCGACAAACGAAGTCTGCATATGGGATATCGACGCGATACACGATCGTGCCCACGGACTCGTGTATCCGCGTGTTAGTCTCGATCTCAACGCCGAGCTGGAGCTGCTTGCTGGCCTTTCGATGATAACAGACGTGGATACCCGCCTCGCCGAATGTAGCGGAAAGCGTGGTAGGACCGGTGCTGTGTCGGAACGCGGCACACATCAGTGTTTGTTGACCGCCGGGTATCAGGGAGCCGCGTAGACACGCGATCTCCGTGCCAAGAGTGATCCTCGGCGTGACCGCCTGCAGGTAGTGCAACACCAGCGTGCCGTGCAACCTCGCGAAATCTGGATTCGCCAGGGTAAACGCCAGCGTGCAGTCGTCCGAGCGGTACTCCAGACCGGAACTGAATGCCCTGTACTTCTTGCCGACGATCTGTGTCGCGAGCTTGAATCTGTATCTACAGCCGAGCGTGTGGACGAAGCTGGCACTCAAGTTGCCGCTGGGCGTGATCTCACCTGAGATCACCGGATACTTTTCCTTGAATCCTACCCGTTTGGTGCCGATGTAATTCACACCAAATTTGAGGCCATATGGCGTGACGGAACTCAGGGTTATCTTATAAGTCACGTTGAAATGCTTGCTCAAGTTTTTCTTTAGCAGCAAGTACGCGCCATCGAAATTATGGGGATAGAGTCCTTTGATTTTCGCATGAAGATCCTCGAAGCTGCTGGGATTACCAGGCTTCCTGTCCACTTCCTCGAAGCAGGGTACGCATGACGGTTCTTCCAAACTGGCGGTGTTTACGAAGAGCTTGTCACATTTGTTGATAAACGCTTGGACAATACCCATTATAACGAGAACGTTGGCTTTTCCGATTAGTAACCGATTTATATCTAATATTAAATCTACTGATTTCGACACGCGCTATATGCATTCGATATGAATCAATCTTCATTCTATATTCGATATTTCACCGACGTTAACTCATTAATAAAAATTTTATTATTCATTAAATTATTTTAATAAAAAATTTTTCTTTTAAACTAGCAAAAATAGATTATGATATTTCAGATTCAACACTAATCATTTTATAAGATAATAAGATTCATTCTTATTTCATCCTTATTTCCATCTCAAATGACAAAAACTGGTGGAAATATTTCCCTTTTTTAAAAATTATGAAAAAATGTATAAATTAAAACTTAAAAATGTAGGAAACATCGGAAAAATATATTCTACAAAAAACTGCTATAAATATTTATTTTCTGATTATTTCTGTTGTTTTTCTTTGAAAAAATTTTTGAAAAACATAATTAGAATTTAGGACAAATCAAGACAAATATAAACAAATTCAAATATTATTCTTAATTACATTATCTTTTTTTAGATTATATTAGAATTATTATTCTAATAGATATAAATTTCTCTAACTTTCACCGATATGAAACATATTTTCTTTAATAATTTCTGTATAATTGACAATTTCAATGAAAATTATATTTTACAGGAAAAATCATTTCTTCATCATTTCACCACGGAATATTTCTGCAGATATATAAAGTAATCTCTTCGAAATTTTAAATACATAAAGAAAATAATAAAGTATTACATATTTATATCATACTAATAGATTTCTGTATAATCAATATTTAATTTCAAATAATATAATTTTCGTGAAATTATTTTTGCACTATAAATTTATTCGAGGAAAGAGTAATAAATTTATTCCTATATGAGTACACGTCAGATAAGACTTATTAGGGATTAAGAGATCATTATCGTTCTCCACTTGTGTTTAATTTAAAAAAGGGAACAGAGTACAAAAGAACCACTTTAGACATGTACAAAGTGCGTTGGATTAGGCATGCATAATTAACAATGATTAACATTTAATTAATTTTAAAACTTTTTGTCTTGTCTTCTTAGATTTTCTTTAAGGTTAAAAAAATAAATATCAATCTATTAATTTGTAAATAATAAACTTTTAACGATTTTAATACTTTTACATAACTTTTATACATATTTTAATATATGTAATAATTTTATTTATTTTTAATTTTTAATGATTTTTGCCGTATAAATTGTTTAATTTTCTTTCTCCCTCTATATACAATTTTATTGGTTTGTTATATTTTGCTTATGTTATTTTTTAACTATATTGAAAGTAAGATAATTCTACATGAATATTTTGTTTGTCATTATAAAGTAATTTTTAAATAAGATTGTATGTAAAATAATGTAAAAGTTCTTAAAGAAATTCTTTTTTAAAAAAAAAGTTCAGAATTTTTAAACATAAATAAAAGAATCGGTAAACAAAATAATGAGAAATATAGTTCTAGAAAATTCTATGTATTATTTAAGTCTACAAACTTATGATTTCATATTATCTTCTGATAATCGCAATTATAACATGTTAAATATAATAAAATAATATTCGCCTTTCTTTTTTGCAAATATCGAGTTTTTTCCAAGATTCGAAACTTATGATTTTTTTTTAGTATCATTAATTTCTTTAGGGACAAATATTCGTATAAACTTGAGATACTTATTACTTCTAAAATCTTTACGAAAGTACACTTTCCTGTTATAAACAGGAAAATAATAATGTTCAAATATAGGTTGGAGACATGTTCAATAGTTACATCATTTATATTATATTATCATTTAGATTAAATCTCTATTTTGACAAAATTAGATAATTATAATTATCATTCGTTATCACAAGTTGTTCTCGATATATAAAAACGGAACGAAAGCGAAATCTTCGCTTTAACACAGTCTAACTTAAGCAGCAAAATGAGGAAAGTTATTTGCATCTTGGCATTGCTTTGTACAGTTTATGTAAGTCCTAAATAAATTATATTTAGTTTGACGGGCTATTTTCAAATTAAGTATAAAAAAATCGAATTTAATCTGAAATAAACTACTCGATAAAAGAACATACTTACTTTTTGGAGTTCAGAGTTTGATGCTCCAAAAGATGATTTCAAAAGATTTTACATTTATAATTATATTTATTTTATTAATTCTTAAAATTAAGCAAAAAGATAAATAATTCAATATATATGTAGGCAAAGAACATGTTAAAATAACAGAAAGAAATTAAAAAAATAAAGGCGTTATTAGGCGTTTAAGATTCTGCCGGTCGATATTTACTCGTATATCTCTTTCTGTTGTTCTAAGAAAAAAACAAACTCTTTTTTATTAGAATAATGTTATTAGAAAACGAAATAGCTTTCTCATATTATATTCTAATAATAAGCTTATATATTTTCTTTAAGGCATCGAAGCAAGATGTGCTTGATCCCTCGCGCAATCTCGAGCGACTAGTGAACGTACAGAAAATAGCCGCCGAAGTTATACTAAATAGCTTGACGTTATTCGAGAACCAAACAAAAACGAATTTAGAAATAAAACTCGACGAATTGAAACTCCAAGCTTTAACTGAAATCTGGATATATATCAACGGAGCACATACAAATATCAACGTGAGTATATATTTTATTTTTCATCAAAAGTTTGTCGGACAACATTAGAATTTTTAGACAATTAATTGTTCCGATTAATTGTACTAAAAGAATCTTCTGCTATATTTTTACATAAAGAAGATTATTTCTATTATAAACAAGTTGTATTTATTGCTGATATTTGCTACATAAATTATCTTCATTTGCTTGCGGTAACAAATGCAAAAGCGCCGAGCTTTTAAATATGAGTCGACATATTCGATCTCTACATACCTTTTTAATTTAATTTTAATAATTTTATTATTAAAAATATAAAACTGTTATTATATATAAAATAGTATCTCATATAGCGACGAAAACCTTTCTTTTAGTTAAATATATTACATTGATTTAATACTTTTTCACGATGAAGAATTTTAACACGAAAAGTTCGAGACGCTCAAAATTTGATTTGACTTCTCTTGAATTGGATTTCTCTTTTTTGCGATACTTATTCGATTAAAATAAAAATAAAAAAGGATTTATGTTATAAAAGAAACATTTTGTAATAACTCCCATTCTTTTTTTTTTTTTGTAATAAATGGAACGCAAAGGAATTTCACTCTCTATCTGATAAGAACAAATACACATGTATGAATCGGAAGAAACGTTGATATTGTTGATAATATCGAAAGCAGTTTTTAAAATAAATGAGAAAGATGTATTCGTTTAAAATACATTTGTTATTCTCCTACAGGAATTTATCAATAAAGCAAAGGAGGAGGGTAAAAACGTAGAAGAGTGTCAAGATTACGCGAAATATAATCTGGAGACGAAGAACGAAAATGCGAAAAATGATGTGGAGACATGCATCAAAAACGGTAACACAGCGATGGAAAATCCATTAGCAAATGTGGCAAATAGTATTGAGGTAATTATTATTATTCTCATGAAATCACGTGCTTCAACTCAGTAAATTAATTAACAACACTTTCACATCACTATTATAATTTCTCTATCTATTTCTCATTT